TCAGCTCGTCTCTTAGCTTCATCAGCTCACCTCTTCCCCCTTCTTTCGCCGTCGCTGCTCTGAATTTGTACACCGGTGAGATCGTACTCGGCTTTGAATTTGTCGCGTTGGGTTGTCCGATCTCTTAATCCTCGGTTTCCAATTTGAGGTTGTTCAGTTCGCCCAGTCAGGTCGCCGTGTAGAGCTTGGTTGGTCAAATTTTCGACTCAAGTAAGCTCTCTCCGGTGACATTAAAAATTTTATTTTGGCTTCAGTATTTTCCCTGTGGTAAATCGAAAGATTTTGGAATGATTTGGCTGTAGTGTTCTACTATGCTCTTCGAATTGTAGCTCGGTTTCTTGGTTGTGGATCTGATTTGTTTTGCAAACTTCCTCCCACTTTCGTTTTTGAATTTGTTCAATCAGTTTTTTGGAAAACTGACCGGCATGTTGATCGAAGGAATGAGATATTATTGCTTGCTTTGGTTTCATAGTAGTCTGATTTTTTTATGAAACGAAATGTGGTTCTAGAGGCAGGGGATATATCTGGTGATATTGTTTTGGAGACAAGAAAGCCTGCAAATTGAATTCTACTGGGTATATAAAATGCAAATTCTTTTTGCTTTGGTTGCTTGGCGTGGGGTCCCTTTTTCCTGTCTAGATTCCCCTCGAGAAGAAGCCTGTGAAGTCTACATAAGCCGAGACAAAACTTTCTTCACATACTTGTCTCGTATTCTATAAATCAGGTTTAAAAAGCTACTTATATGTCAATCCAAATAAGCTCATTATTAATAATTAAAATTTCGACTGTTGGGGAAAAAAGGAAAATTTCATTTTTCATTTTTTTCCTCACAAGGTATAGTTCACTTTCATGTGTGTGTACCATTTTTTCAATTAGAATTGCACGCACTAATTTATAATTTACGAAGTTACGTTGACTGTGTTACCATCTCTTTCTAAATTGTCCTTTTACCAATTGTTAGGAAAATAAGGGTAGAGTTAAACCTTGTGTAACCTACCACACAAGAGCTGCCGCCAAATGATTCAACTAAACATGAATTGATTATGCATTTTTTGCTGAGAAAATGAGATGAGGGCAACAAAATAGCAAAATAGATTGTGTTGTTCTTTATGTCATTTGGTATATGAAGAACAATGCAAAACTACTGACTTTTATCAGGTTGCCTCAAAAGTCATATTTGAATTCACACCTAAATACAAGTGTAATTTTATCAAGTTCTTAAATCCACTCTAGGCCCATTTGTATCGGTAATTATAGCTTTAGTTATAATATAGACATAACACTAAACAAACATTCACATTATCAATATCAATATCAATATATCTCTAATAATAGTTCCCCTCAAGCTACATGAGCCATATGAAATGTAATTATATTCTAATTTTTTCCCAAAAGTATTAGGTTTATTTAATATAAACTAAAATCAACAAAAAAAAGTTCTAAACAAAAGACAAAACACAAAAAGGATTCAAATCCAAACAATATAATCTTAAGCTCAAAAAACAACTCAACTACGAACTCTGATCCAGTCAAAGATAGAGGGCTAATTGTGCTGCTGCTGCCAAAAAACAGAAGAAACACATTTAACTATGCTAGAAACAAGGGTTGAGTGTTCAAAGAACCGTCACTGTCGCGCTTGAATCCTGGTTATCCCATAAAAAGAAAAGAAAGACAAGTCGCCACCAAAATTTTAAAAGATTAATTTTGAAAACCTAAAAAAAATGTGGTCTATGAAAACCGAATAGGGTTCAATTGTGTGTGGAAAATATGTTAGGCATCCCACAATCCCCATTCAAGAGAACAATTACCGTAATTACCCTAAAAAAATAAAGATAGAAACAAAAAAAAAATTTTATTTACCAAAAAAAATTGTTTACAAAGGTGGAGTTGACCTAAGATAAAAACTTAGGATCTACATACACTTTAGAGGTATCAAAGCCCACGTAGTTCAGGGGTAAAAATATGTGTCACTTGGTTAGTATTTTTAGAAGATATTTATTCAATTAAAAAATATGATTTTTTGTGAGTTGGTATTTTTTAATATATGAAAACAATATTTTTATTTTTATTTAGAAAATATTTTTTGAAAGAAACTTTGGATCACTTTCCATGCAGAGGTTCTAATAACCTCACACAAGAGAATAATTGTTCAAACTTGCGAAAATCCTAAAAACCTCACACAGCTCTGAAAAATATGTAAAGATATTTTAAAAAAAATTTATTTTAGTATTCATTTATAAACATTAGGCCAAAATTGTTTTCTCCCTTTTTATTTCAAAAAGAAATTGCGCAGCCACATTAATATTCTTGCAGAGACTCACATAACCTCACACTGTTTACTAATGAATCTAGATATTTGCAGAAGTTCTAAAAACTTCACACAATAAAGATTTAAAAAAAGGAAGCGCTTTCAAAAATAAAAAGGAAAAAACACCCAAAAATAAATTCATCATGAAATTCAAGTTAAACAAGGTAGATAGGAACGGAAATTCATACCTGATGCTCCATTTATCAATTAGCTAAAAAAAGAGAAAATATTATATAATAAGCCAATAATAAAAAAACTATATACATATATTAGCAAAATGATATGGACAAAAATAAAATAAATAACATAAAATAAAAACAAAAAAGGAAGAAAGTAAGTATCAAAAGGAGTACATATGGGGGTTAATAGATAAAAGCATATTTCAAACAAATCAAAGAGAAGGGGGTAGTGAGAATTAACTCAAATCACATTTAATTCAACCCTTTAGCCATCAACGTTCAAGCTCACAAATGTGATAATAACCATAAGAGCATAGACTTTTTTTGGGTAGAAGAAAGAAGAAGATGGATAATGAACTTTCCTCTAGTTAGGCCTCCTCTCTCTTTCCTCAACCCAAGTTATTGTCATAATAGAAAAGCTTTCTAAATTGCCTCTTTTTTCACTGAAAAATTTTCTTTTCCTCTAACTCTTACTCTCCTATCTATAGGTTCCACCCAGGATTTTCTATTTTTTTTAATTTTTTTCAATTATGACTCATAATAAAACTTCATATTTAAGCACCAAATGATTTTTTATTTTTGTTTTTTAAAATTTTTACAATTATGACTCCAAAAGATATTTCTAAATTGAGAAGTCAATCATCTTAAATGAGAAATTTTGATTTGTATTTTTGACTTTTGTTTCTTTTTTTAAAGACTTCACCCCGTATTTTCTAGTTTGGAGGTTAATTGGCTTTTAATTTTTATCTTTTATTTTATTGCTATTTATTGTAAGAGAGATATTCTTACTTAATTTTTCTTTTTTTAATTTGTCACATGGTGAATTTTTCAAACTTAACTTTCAAGAAAGAATTAAAGAGAATGTTAATGTTTTATTATTATTTTATTTCTTCTCAGTTATTTTATTTACATTTAATATTTAATATTTTTGTGAAACCCGAATAAAATTAGGGTGGTCACAGACACGTCAATTCTATCCATTTGAATCTCCAATTTTGCTGCGAAGAAAGCAGGGACACATTCCCCACACATCTATTGTCACATATAGGGAAGCGCCAACATCAATAAGGGCAACAAAACAACCCCCTGAAACTCTGACCAACACCACCAAAGCTATCCCAAACCCAATCCAAAGCCACTGCATTTATTAGGATCAACCAGGACCAATTAGCTTAAGAAATACTTTCAAATCTACGATCATCCACCCACCCCTTCAGTGCCGACAATCTCGAAGTTGTTGATCTCTCTGGCCTTCAAGTTTCATTCCTCCACATTACTAATCAATACATTCTTCCTCATTACCCTTAGCCGGACAACCTCCTTTTCAATCTGTGTCGGAATCCCAAGCATTTTGACATAAAACCACTCGCTATGAGGAAACTGAAACTCCAACCTTGTAATTCTATTCTAAACAATGCAATGTACTTGTTTAAGATTTTATAAGCATTAAAGTATAATCTCTCGTGCCTTGCATGGGTATAGTAAAAGCTTGTCCTAATAAAATAGGGCAAATCTGGCTCCTCTAGGCTACAAAATGTAAGATATACAAATTCTTGCCTTGATTGTGTCTCTCATTTATCTCAGGCATAACTTCTTGTTTCGGCATTATGTTTTGTTTCTTAAAAGTAGATACTTTAGGATTCAAATGTTAACCTAGGTGGATTATACACATTACTAGCAGGACATGGAATATAATCAACATTTAGTAACATTAGCATTAGCATTTTTCTCTTATACTAAATGTAAGAGATATTTTTACCAACAAAATTAATTAAATTAATTATTTATAATAAAATGAATATAGGTTTATCTAAAATACTCATTTAAATCATTTTTATTAGAAAAATTCTTTCTTGATAAAAAAAATTTCTTAACATATAGAGGGAAAAATTGTAAATTTAGATAACAAAATGAATCAAAATTTTATATTTATCTCCAAAATAATTACGCCTCTCCATTAATTATTAAATGAAGGGACAAGTATAGTCATTGTTAATTACTTTGTACCACAAGAATATGCAATGAACTTTGAATCAAATATTCTTATCACCTCAAGGACATATCACCAGATTAAGACAATACTATGGAGATTCAAAGTTCCAACTCCAACCTAGTCATGCTCCCTCAGAGTTGTGTCATGAATGATATTCAAGTTGAAAGTTTTAATATTTCTAAATTGGAACTTTTAGTACACTTAAGATTGTACTACTTTCTTGTTTAATTTTTATTATGATTTTATATATAAGATTTTAATCTATTTTTTCTCTTATATTTATTTATTTTTTTAAAGTAGTCTTTCTAATAATAATAGTAAAGATATTTTAGAAAAAAATAACACTTATTTATTATAAATAATTAATTTAATTTTTTTTAATCTATTTAAATTAGGATTGGAAGGGTTAGTAATTAACAAATTGTAATTTCCAGAAATTCAGATTATTCATTGTTCCCCGTTTTTATCCAGCAAATCCGCAATGGCCTTGACATTTGAGATTTGACATGGATGATGATAATCATGAAAGTAATGACGTCAGCAACCGGTGACGGCGCTTGAGCAAGGCGACACGGAGGTACAGCCTACAGAGCAATCATCACTGGGCGTGGCCCTCCGAGGGTGACGACAGACGAACGAGCTTTCTACGAAAGCGTTTTCAAACCCTGCGTTGCTTTCTCTTTTATCTTACACGCATTTGCCAGCAATATTTAAATCCCTACTTTTCACCCCCCATTTGGGAAAAGCTGGTTTCTCTTCGCTGGAAATTTGCAGTGATTGGTTTCTTATATGGGGAATTTTTCAGTGAATGGATCCCTGCTTGGAAATGCGTGAAACAGAAGGAAGCTTCCTATGCGGCTGAAAAGTTCAACTTGCCGCGTTGGATGATCCGCCGACATACATTGTTTGTTCCGCCAATCATTCTTTTTTGACTGTTTTGTTGGGTTTAGATCACCGAACTTGTGGATTTGAGTTTAGTGGTTTTGTTTTTTGGGCTTTTGTTTCTGCATGTTGGTAGACCTTATAACCATTAAGAAATCCAATTGGAATTGTTGAAAATTCCTGAAACTGATTCTTCGTATCTTATTCTGTATTTTCTTTGTGATGCAATTGAAAGGGGTTGTTTGTTTTAGTTGGAACACAGAAGACCTACCCCCAGTGCGATATCATTCTGGTGTTCAAGAGATTTATGGATGCTTTCGTGTGAAATTGGTATAAAAACGCTACGGCTTGGATGATAATTACCGATAAGATTCCAGTGTATTCTAGATTGTTAGCTAATATCTCTCAGCATTTTTCATCTAAACGTTGGGCGTTTAGAGTGTCGTTTGGAACGATGGTTGGAAGCACCGGAGATATGAACCAAAATGTATATCCCAATGGTTCTGTTAAAAATGGAAAGGGGGGTTTGGAAGAGAAGGTCGATGAGCTTCGTCGGCTTATGTGCAAAGTGGAGGGTGATCCCTTGAGAATTGTAGGAGTTGGAGCTGGTGCTTGGGGTAGTGTATTTACTGCTATGTTGCAGGAGGCTTACGGGAGTTTAAGAGAAAAGGTTCACATACGGATATGGAGAAGACCCGGGAGAACTGTTGACAGAGCCACAGCTGAGCATTTGTTTGAGGTGATTAATTCAAGGGAGGATGTCTTGAGGAGGCTAATTAGGCGGTGTGCATATCTGAAATATGTTGAGGCAAGATTAGGTGATCGAACACTTCATGCAGATGAGATTCTGAAAGATGGGTTTTGTTTGAATATGATTGATACCCCTCTATGTCCTCTGAAGGTTGTGACAAACTTGCAGGAGGCTGTGTGGGATGCTGATATTGTGATTAATGGTTTACCATCGACAGAAACCCGTGAGGTATTTGAAGAAATTAGTAAATATTGGAAAGAGAGGATCTCAGCTCCGGTCATCATTTCCTTGGCAAAAGGTGTAGAGGCTGAATTGGGTCTTGAGCCACGAATCATAACTCCCACTCTCATGATTAATCGAGCAAGTAAGTTTCATGAACATTCATTTCAGCATGCACTTGGGGTAAGGGTATATGTTCATAGAGTGATCTGCCCTCTAAGGTTTCCGCTTATGCTGTATTCCCTCCGTTCCTTATTATAGGAGACATTTGATGCTTATGGCATGTTCCTATATATAAGAGACACTTAAAAGTTGTCTCTACTTTTTTGTGTTGATTTCCTATTTTATCCATATTTATTGTCTCCAACTCACACTCTCTCTCCCTCCCACTTCTCTTTCTTTCAATAATTTAATTGTTCTCTCTCATGCTCTCTCTCCTTATTAATGAGGGCATTTTTGGAAAAAAATTATATTTTTCACACATTGATTGTTCTTAACTAATTTTAACTGCTTTTTTGATCAACGTAATTCGGTTATTCGTCTCTTATAATAAGGAACGGAGGGAGTATTTATTTTCTCCGGTGCCTTTGAATGCATCTTTGCTGCTAAGTTGGCCCTCTACCAGTGTCATTTTGTGACCTTTTTTATGGCTTCTCTCTCTCGTGCGCGCGCGCATGTGTTACTATAATATATTACCAAAACCACAAAAGCTATGCCTGTTAATGGGGACGTGACTAACTATTATCATCCCTTATATGATGACAATTTTCTGTAATTTTTCTGTGCCTGAGGGTACACAGCTAAGACATGTTATTGAAAACAAATCATTGAAAAGGTTCTCATTAAGAATTCAACTAGTGATAACCTCATATCATGACCAATTAGGCCTAAATCATAGTTGATAGGACATGGTTTAACCATGTTCATTATCGGCCTTCTTTAAGTTGTTTGAGAACAACTTTTGCTGCTGCTGCTGTAGGTTTCTTCTTCATTGCAAACAACCTGAATTTTCATTTCATTTATGAAGTAGGAGCCTCCAGACCTGTTGCAGTCCCTACACTCATTAAATGGTTTTGGTTTATTTTTTTCATTCCTTTTTATCTTCCTCATTTGGCAATGAATTTTCCTCGACAAAGTCGGAAAATTGCTGGTCACATCCCATTTACTGGAAAGCTGGACTTTACTAGTAGCTGGGTTGATTGGAATGGTGTTCCGATGAGCATGATAAAAATATCCAAATGAAAATAGTAGACTAAATTCCGGTAAACTTTCCTTTTGCTGGTGGGTGCCAACTTGGAAGGATTTGAAATCCTACAATCGCTTGTGGTAAAATCTCATCTCTCCATCCATTAGTAATTTTGATTGTACAAGCTAGATGATGAATACTTTTAGCTCGATGTCTTTTCCTCTTCTTGCCTCTTTTTGTCCCAGGGAAAAAAATCTCTCCATTTGCTCACAAGAGACAGTTCCTCATGATTATTCGCTGAAATTTAAGATCCTGATGGCATCTGTTTCTGTGTGTTTGAGTGTACAAGCTTTTCTGAAGCATGCTTATCTTTGGCGTACTTTGATGCTGTGCTTTAGTTCCTTGAAACATAATTCTAGTATATCCTAGAGATTGAAATGATTGTTCAAGCTTAATTTAGCTGTCAAAATACAGTATGGGGCTATCTTTGGCATACTTATTTGCCATGTTGCTTTGCTTTATAGAACTTCTGCTAGTTTATATCTATTTTAATTCTTTTATGGACTAATTGGCCTATTTTTTAATATGGAGCATTAATGCAATGTGTGAATGTCGAGGTAATGATAAAATAGGGAAGAACTTGGTATGTGTGAATATCTTAGTTTAATAATCAGAAGCACGCCAAGTGTGTAATATTTATTGCTGATGCCATATATATGACTTCTGTTTCACATTTGTTTTAATTTGTTTGGCATCAGTACAAGCTCATACTATCGAATCTTACATTAATAATTTAGTTTTTTTTTTTCAGGAAAAGAAAACAAAAGCATAAACATAAATGAAGTTCTCCCCATTTGAGTGCATGAATCATGATGTACTTTCCTATCGCAAGATAATGGCATACATGCCCTCACGCTATATGTTTAAGTTTCCATTCCCTTCACTGACGGACATCATGCTTTGCAGCTGGAGTTCCCATGGAGAACATTCTTTATCTCGGAGGACCTAACATTGCTTCAGAGATTTACAATAAGGAATATGCAAATGCTCGGATATGTGGAGCAGAAAAATGGCGGAAGCCATTGGCAAAGTTTTTGAGGCAGCCCCACTTTGTTGTGTGGGATAATGGTGATCTTGTTACTCATGAAGTTATGGGTGGACTGAAGAATGTCTATGCTATTGGAGCTGGTAAAGTTTAGATTATTTTCTTAGTTGCATTATTCAGAAACTACGTGAGAGAAGCCAGTCAATGCATATTTGTTGAAGCATGGCATAGATAATAGCCATTCTAGATCTTTGCCATGCTGTTGCTCTTGGTGTTTTCTGGATTGAAATTGTCATTATTTTGTTCTAGTGAAAAGAGATGTGGGAATCTTGCCATTAAAAAAACAGAAAAAAAGGAATAATAAAAGAAATTGAAAGAAGGGAGAGAGAAATGGGGAATGAAATGCAAGTCATCAAGTATCCTTAACATCCCTACCGACTATGAATCATGAGCACGCATGTTTTCTGGCACATCAGTCGCTGGCTCTGTCACAATGCACTACTGATGCATGTCTAACACACGTGCAATTGTAAGAATAAAAGTAATACTATACAAGTAGCTACTAGTCAATTGTAATGACATCTCTTTCTCTCTCTCCTTCATAGAATTTATATGTATTATGCATCTGGGACGTGACTTTTTCAACACAAGCTCTATCTCTTTATTAGTTATAAACTAACGATGTAATCTTAATACCTACTGTTAGAAATTGGCTACACTATAATAGTTGTGTTGATTAGAACTGAGAAAATCTAGTTATGTACATATTGATCTATAAAGATCTCAAGACTAGTGGGAAATCGATTTTTCATTTAGAAACATACAGAAGGTGTTACTCTGTTTCTCTAATTGAAGTTCCTGAAAGAAATCCTTTTTTTGTTAGATAATTGTTGTCCTGTAATTAAGATTACATATATAACCATTTGGCACCATATGACATTGTCTCATTGTCAGTTGATTGGTCAATATGTGCTTTTCACATTGGAGATTGTTCTGTATGTTGTCTTTGGATGGTACACCGCAAAAATGCTTTCTTTTTTAAAAAATAATTTTAAATTTTGTAATATATGTGCATAAATTTCAATGAGACAGGAATGGTAGCTGCTTTAACAAAGGAAAGTGCCACCAGCAAATCAGTGTACTTTGCTCACTGCACATCAGAGATGATTTTTATCACTCACCTACTAGCTGAAGAACCAGAGAGACTTGCAGGACCTCTGTTGGCCGATACATATGTAACCTTGTTGAAAGGTCGTAATGCTTGGTATGGACAAAAGCTGGCCGAAGGGGAATTGAGCCTTGAAATGGGTGATAGCATCAAGGGCAAGGGGATGATTCAGGTACAAATTTCTTTGTTTCTATTTTTCTTATTGATATGCATCTTTAGTCTGATTAGAAAGAATCAAAGAAACTGGAATTCTGTAGGTGGTACTGGGTCTGTGGAATTGTTTTCTCAAACACTTACGAAATATATTTACATAATGAGTGAGCACATTAAAAAAAGAAAATTTTAAATTTCATGTGAATTACATTCTACCCCATTTGCTTTAGTTCAAAATCAATTTATCTCCCTTTGGTTTAAAGGGTTGCTCGTTGAATTACCACTTAACCCTCCTACATAAGGTGCTCACATGTAAAAACCATCTTAAGGTTCTACTGTTGCAGCTTGTAAATAATGATTCCGCTTTTCATGTTGTAGGGAGTATCTGCAGTTAAAGCATTTTATGAGCTACTTAGTCAGTCCAGCTTAAATGTCCTAAATCCTGAAGAAAATAAGCATGTTGCTCCAGTGGAGCTTTGCCCCATCTTGAAGATGTTACATAAAATACTCATAATAAGGTAATAAACTTTGCTACCCGCCCTCTTACTTTTTCTTCTTTTAAACCTGAAAATAAAAAATGATGGATCATGGGATTCGGCTTGCTGTGATTTAGAGTTGCTTGGCATGGATATGCTTAGTTCCCCCCCCCCCCTCTTTCTTTCTTTCTTTCTTTTGGACTGAGGATATGCTTAGTTTAACATAGCAGAACGAGGCGAGGGCCGAGCATTTGGTGGGTTGTGGGCTTAAAAATTCAAGCTCATCATCTTATTAGATTTATACGCTTTCGGCCAAACGCAAGCTTGGGCTGACCCGAAAAGTTTTCTCACTCCCTCAATTTGGCATTATAGTCTTTATTTATTCTCATTCTTTTTATTTTCTCTTTGTTACATCTATTTTTTTACTTTCAAAATTTATTAAGTTCAACTTTTTCTCTAATAAATCAAAGCAAACATGTTGAATTCTCCTCACTTAAGGTAGGCTTTGGCCCAATGCTTAAGGCTGTTGGGTTCTAGCAGAAGCCTGGCCTAGTCCAAGAAATATACGTATACAAACGCTCCATGGATCTTTTGGCTGGAGTTAACACACAAGCCCCGCACATGGAAAGCTGTAATTTTATTTAATTATCCCTATTGTAGAATGGAACTGCCGTTTTCTGTGGTTTTGCTGACTTTGAATCTTCAGGGAATCTCCCCCACAGGCCATTCTTGAAGCATTAAGAGATGAGACCATGAATGATCCACGTGACCGGATCCAGATTGCTCAAAGCCATGTCTTTTACAGGCCCTCTCTCCTTGGTCAACAGCCTTGAATCATAATCTCGTGTGAGTTTTGTATGGCATGTAGTTTTGACATATTTTCCTAGTTGTGCAAATGTTAAAATGTGTGTTCTTCCAAGCACGAACCCTTCCTGCAGTGTTTGAGGTAATCGGAAGTGATGGAGAAATTTCCTATATAAATATACAAGCAACTATTCTGGTTATGGTCACTAGGACTGAGAAATTTCTGAGACTAGTTGTAGAATGCTACAGTGATTTTTTTATTTGATATCTCTTGATCCGTTTTAGTGCCCTTTGGATTAGCTTAAAAAGGGCACCTAAGTGTTGCACGAAATAAATATTTGAGAAAAGTTTTGTTTCGCGAAATGCCTCCAGTCAAAATTATTGACTGATGATAGAATCTGTGCATGAAACCTTGTACAACAAGCAACATGTACAAGTTTGTTTTGGGAATAGATGCCATTCATATTTGACATGATGAAATTCGGGGAAGAAAATGAAAATTTTCTTTTGAAAGTGATGTTGTATCATTACTTATAATGTGAAAATAAATGATTTCATTTGTAATTTTAAAACTTTAATGAATTATTTGTAAGTGGGTCAAAATTAAACAGAATAGAATTGGTTCGACTCATGTTTCCGTGGTTTACTGGGCGCCCATTATCAGCGTTCTGTCCCAGGTCATATTCATCCCTTTCTCAGGTCAGCATGTTATTTGCCAGTTCAGATGAATATAAGCAACCTCGCAACACATCATAAATAAGGACTGACACTTAAATATTTCCCCCCGAAATAATATATATTTTGACTAATTAAAAAGAATTCTGGTGATTGAACCTAAATTGAAATAAATATACTAAAAAAGACTAATTATTTTTTTTCCTTCAGAAGAAAGAGAGATTATCATGACTTCTGCAGAATAACTAAATATTTGACAAAACTTAACCGTCATATAATAGTAAGTCATAACCGAGAAAAGCCCATAATATCACAACAATTTCAAATAGTGGAGAATTTAAATTTAATATACATTTAATATAACGATTTTAATAAACCATATTATTAATTAGACTCATTTCTCAAACTTCACAGTACGTCATAATATCACGGTAATTATAAACAAAGTAATACAATAAGAAGATAGAGACCACCAGGAGTTGGGTCTAACAGAAAGGGCTAGTCTCTCATAATGTAATGAACTAAGGTTTGAATTTCTGCTAGAAGAGGTATCTATATTTAATACCCGACAGTACCTCGAATGAGATTACTTTTAATAAGAAGATACATGTGCTTAACCAAAGAAAAAAAGATAGAGTAGAATGAAACTTGTTAATAATAAATTAATAATAATAATAATAATAATAAATGTTTTGCAAAAAACGAAAATTCCTAGAAATTTACACATAAGAATTTGTCCATTACAATTTACAAGGGGTAGAAATTTCAGAGCCAATTGATTTGCGTGACTGATATTGATCATATAAATATTATACTACTCAGGTTCTTAATATAACACCTTGTTTGACTTTTATTTTTATTCTAAATATAAGATCCCAATCCATTTTGTCTCTCATATTATGCATTTTTTCCAAGATAGTCCTTTTAACAATAGTAGTAGTAGTTTTAATCAATACACTTAGTTAGCAAGGATATTTTAGAAAAGTCAACATCTATTTATTATAATAACTAACTTAACTTCTTTCCTTAATCTTCTCAAATTAATCAATTAGCTCTTATAATTAAGACCAGAGGCAGTATTTAAAAAAACCGGACATTCAAAATAAGTATTTAATTAAAAAAGAAAAGGGAAAAAAAGGGAAGAAGCGAAGAGAGAGCATTGGCTAAACACGCAATGCAGTTAGCACTTGGCCTATAAAGAAGAAGCTAATGGATCTCTTTTGATTCGCGCCAAATCCGGTCATGTTTGAACCTTTCTTTCAAAAACCATTTCTAGTTCCAGTCTGGTATTCTCCAACAGATTCATCGCTTTGAGTTCCCCTCTCACTGGATCCAGGAAGCATAATCTCGCATTCGCATTGAGTGTGCCGCAACAATATGGAGCAGTACCTCCGAGAGAACTTCGACGTGTCGCCCAAGCGGCCCTCGGAGGCCAACCTCCGCCGCTGGAGATCCGCCGTCTCCATCGTCAAGAATCCTCGTCGCCGCTTTCGCATGGTCGCTGACCTCGCTAAGCGCGCCGAGGCTGAGAAGAAGCGCAAGAAACTCCAGGTTTGAGACTACTCTGTTCTCTCTTATCTTTTTTCAGCTCTTGCAGAAACTGTGTTTCCATTTGGATCTTTTTCTTTCTCTTCGTTTTATAGAAACTGATTTATCAACGTGGTTTATGTCTGTTTGGAAATAAAACGAAATAGATTTGGCTTTTTTTTTTGGTCCATGATTTTTTCCCGAATTGAAACGGATTGCTCTGTTCTCGATTACATGCACTGAGTTAGTGATTAGTTTGGATGTTATGATCGGCATTTCCACAATTAGAATGATAAACCTGAAGTGTCTGGTTATGATCTCTGGATGTCTTCGTTATGAGATGAACCTTCCTGTTCATTTTCGAAATTTTCTCGTCAAAGAAATAGAGATGGAAAATTGCTGCGGCTCAGATTGTGCGCTTATTAAACCGCAAGAATAACAGAAGCAAAGTCAAATTGTTAGCGCGATTAGATTGTCATTGGCTTATGCAGTTCACTTTCACACAGTATCCATCGACTTTTCTCGGAATTTTTGCATTTCTGGTAATCCTTGCCACCTGTCATTCTCATCATTTTCCGTAGCATTTAAGATGTGTCAAAGAAAGGGGGGAAAAAACCAAGTAAACCATTTAATTACGACAAAAGAGTACTAGTATTATCCTATATATGGACTTTTCAATGCTAAAGAGGGGTGATTGTTCCTTGAAATTTTTTTTACTGTCCTGCATGAATATATTTCTTCATACGTGTACGTAGAATTGATTTCACATCATAAGCTTTGAATACTCGAGTCCTCGATCCATACTGAAATTTACCAAACCAAATTGAACTTCTGTTTCACAAATGCTCCATCATATGACCATTGCTTCTGTATAATCGCTTTTTCCAAATGTTTCGAAAGTCTTAGGTGACGTATCGCTAGTTTGATGGTGGACAGCTTATTTCCTCTTGTGGCATTTTTTTAATTAGTTAAAGTTGATTAAGCTGTAAAAATACTTTTCAAAAATATTTTTTTGTAAATCGAGACAAACTCCTTCATATATTTATTTCGTATACCGTAAAATCACTTTTAAAATCATGGTTTCGTTTCTATCCAAATATTTCCTAAATCTTACAAGTTTTATTACTTTATTTAAAATGACTTCTAATCCGTTTTACATGTATATATGTGCGTATATTATATTTTTTGTTTTCTTTCCTGGCTCCGAGATGGACCAATATTGGTGAACTCCAGCTATTTCTTAGGTATAAACAGATCTACAGATTAAACGATCTATACATGTATTGTTTCTTGTGTCGCAAGGAAAGTTGATTTCAAGTTTGGACACCCCTGTTGACTTCACAGTATTAACTGCATATGATAGGCATGATAACTAGGGGGAAAAGGGTTCAGGAGTGTAATTATAAGATATAGGTGTAGTCACAACTGAATGATTGTATAGGATTGGTTTTCACTGATATTGCTTTAATCAAATGACTTGTCAGAGTGCCAATGAATTAACTGTGCCAAAAGGTAATAGGGTTTATGATCTCTAATGGATTAAAGTGGTCGCGTCCCTTTTTACCATTGTCTAATTAGTTGGCTAGGCACTTGCCGAGTATTATTGTTAAGTTTACGCACCTATATGTTTTAGGTAGCCCACGTAACTATGATAAAAGGTTTCATCTTTGCATGCTTGAAAGGCAATGGTATATATTCGTGGTGTTTCCCCTTACTCGAGGCCATTCTATTCTTTCATGATTATCCTTTTTTTTTTTTGGGGGGGGGAGTAGTGCTTCTCCGGTTCCCGATCGTGAAGATCAATGTCATTAGCAATGAATTATTATTTTCAATGCTTAGTATACAAGCTAGTTGATTAATTTGAATAGATTAAAAAAATTTATTAAATTAATTATTTGTAATAAATATGCATTATCTTTCTTATAATGTTCTTGCTAATCATGTGTATTAGTAAGAACTATCAGTTGATGAAATATTTAATATATACAACTATAAGGATTATTTTGGAAGAAATAGATAAATATGAGAGACAAAGTGGATTAAAATCTTATACTATTTCCGGTTCTTAATATAAGACATTGTTTGACTTATTTAATCCTAATTATAAGACTTCAATCCACTTTGTCTTTCATATTTATGTATTTTTTTTTCAAGGTAGTCTCTCTAATAATAGTAGCTCTAACCAATAAACTTGATCAGTAAGGATATTTTAAGAAAGACAATACCTATTTATTACAAATAACTAACTTAACTTATTTGCTTAATCTCTTCAAATTAGTCTACTAGCTCTTATAATTAGGACTGAAGGTAGTATGTAGAACCAAATTAAAAGTCAAACTAGCTCTTATATTTAGTTAGAACTAGAGGTAGTATTAGACAAAATAATTCTATTAAGATAATCCTACACCAAATATACGACAGAAGAAAAAAACATTGATGGCGGTCACTAGAGGTGGGAGAAAAATGTTAAAATTTTGATTTTAACAAATTAAAAAATTATTTGATAAAAAATACTCAAAACAATAATTATGTACTAAATATTTTTTTAATGTAACTAAATTATAAATAATAATTTAATAATTTATTGAAGAACAATTCTTGTATTAAAATAGGTCATGAATTAAATAAAAAATGAGAATAAATTGAATGCGATTAAATAATTATACGATAATCATTACCTATTATCCTAAATTTAATAAAATTCGGTATAAAATCCATATGACAAAATAAACACTACAAAAATATACTCCTCCGGTCCTAATTATAAGACCCAATTGACTTATTTGAGGAGATTAAGGAAGTAAGTTAAGTTGGTTATTTATAATAAATAAGTGTTGTTATTCCTAAAATATCCTTGCTAATTAAGTATATTGGCTAAAACTATCATTATTAGAAGGATTATCTTGGAAAGAAATACATAAATATAAGAGAGAAAATGGATTGGGTCTTATAATTAGGACCAAATAAAAAGTCAAATTGGGTCTTATAATAAGGACCGGAGGAGTAGCTTTTAACTCTATCCAGCCTTTCTCTGGTGTTTGGATAGAAACCAAACCATGGTTTCAAAAGTGCTTTTACGGATTACGAAGTAAATATGTGGAGGAGGTTACCTCGTTTTGCGGAAAAGTGATTCTGAAACCTAGGTTTTGGTTTTAC